TTCTGCCCACTGACTTTTAAATCAAATGAAATTGATAAAAATCTTTCACAATTCATTAACAATGTGTGAAGCATAATGCATCTAAAGGAGTGATTCTCCGAGAAGAGTGAGGCCCCTAGAAGAATGAGTCTCCAAGAAGAGTGAGGCCCTCTAGATGCGCGGGGCCATGGCACGGGAAAACACTGGTAGTTAGAAACGTATGTAATATATGTGGTTAACACTGTTGACTGCAATATACAGATGACATCTTGTAATTAAACCATGTGTGGTGTGCGGGTAATGGCATTGGGTTCCCTCGGTGTGGGTGTTATTACATATGCATGACACTTGCGATGAAAACAAAAATAATTTTCAATTATATTATATCTAACTTTAGCTATAATATAATAATAAAAATAATTGGCTGAAATCGTAGAGGAAAATTTCCCCATGGAAACACAGAACACGTTCCACATGGTTGCACGCTCAGGAAAAAAATAATTGTAGACACTTTTATTTGAAGGCTCCCCCAAAAGGAACACCATGAACCACCACATTTAGAAATTAAAAAAAAAATTAAAGTTTAAAGTCATTTCTCATATTTAAAAAAAAAAAAAAGGCTAGATGCCCACGGATCAACACTGCGTGTATCGATCTGAAAAAGGAAAACCATGAACCACCACATTTAGAAATTAAAAAAAAAATTAAAGTTTAAAGTCATTTCTCATATTTAAAAAAAAAAAAAGGCTAGATGCCCACGGATCAACACTGCGTGTATCGATCTGCTCCAGGTCTCAGATCGATACGAGCTGAGAAAGGTGGGTGCGTACGGCGTCGGGTCTCAGCTCCTTATCAATAAGTCTTGGGGTTACGGTTACTGTCTCCTATTCTGCTGGAGTCTGAATGTTCTCTTCTTGCCAAATTTTAGCAATACGTTTATGCGTCGGGGAGTGTAGTTCTCTTCCTCCATATTTAATAAGTTCTTCTGTGATGTGATCTTCTCCGGGGGGGGGGGCTTTGTGGTTATTCATAGAGTTGATCACTTCTGTAGTTTCTTCCAAAGTTGGGGAGTTTATTAAAGGGTCTTGACCGCCTTGTGGACGTTGATAATGTTCAACTTCCATTGTCTGCATTTAGCATTCCATAAAATATTTAACCCACCTCTCCAGTACTTTACTATTTTACGTAATGAATTCTCCATCATTGCCCTCACACACTGGAGGCCTGGCTTGGTATCCATTCTTTTCTTTATCTTCATGCACAGTTCTCTAATATTTCCTTCTCTTGATAAGTCTTCTATTTCTTTTAGTTTAGCCTTTTCCATATTCCATCTTTGTCTTCCTACACATTTTTGTGGCTTTCCTTCTGGCTTCCTTGTATGTTTTTCATGTATTTCAGGTTTCCCTTTGCATCATGGTAATTCGTGCCTTGTTCCTTTCTTCACCAGTCTCGCTGCCTTCATTATCAAACCTGCCTCTCTATTGTTAGCTTGGTGAAACCCTACGGATTTTTCTGATGATTTGTTCATAGCATTTTTTTTATCCTATCCAACTGTTCATTTATCTTGTTTTCCCTGTTCACTTCCTCACGTGACGCTTCTAGTTGTGCTTCTACTTCATTTTGGTAAGCTTTTGCGTTTAGTGGGTCTTCGGTAAGTTTTTAGTAATCATATCGTGTTTCTCTTTGATTTAGGCCAGGAGTCTCCAATCTACGACCCGAGGGCCACATGCGGCCCGCGAGGCCTTCTCATCCGGCCCCCTGAGGCCTTTTGAACTACGGAAAAATTACAGAAATTGACTTGCATCCTGCCAAGATCAGCCACCGCTTACGTTGACGTTCCGGTGCCTGCAGTAGTGCGTTATGTGCAACCGATCGCTACATTACACAACCTTCTTCGCTGCTTAGTTATTTTTCTATACGTGACCGGTAGATGTCAAATGACCACAAATAATTTATCTTTCATCCAATATTGATCACATTTGCATATATTATACACAAGAGCATTTGTTTTAAGGCTGAACAAGCTAAATGTCACTTGAACATGGGGTCATTTGTTTTTATGCTTTTGATGCAATGTTGTTGTTTTTTAAACTTGTAAATACATATTTTAAGAACCATAAAGTTTTGCTCTATCATGCTTTATTTTTTGTCATTCAAGTACGGCCATTATAATTGTAACACAGCCCATTCAGTTCTGCACATTTTGGTATATCACATTTTATAATAGCCTGAAAACTAGAAAAGTTATGAAAATTTGTCTGTGGTCACCTAGGAGCAAATTTCATCACAACAAAATGACTGTGTCAAAACGTGAATTTGACCTACGGACTCTAGGAATTAACTAATAGCTAAAAGTGGCAAACCGTTTACAGATGGTGAAGTAGTGAAAGAATGTTTGTTGATGGTGGCTGAGGAAGTTTGCCCAGAAAACTCAAAACAATTTGAAAATGTAGCTTTGCGTGAAAACACCATTGGCCGCCGTGTTGCAGACAATCTGGAAAACATCGTGGCTCAAATGGCGAAAAATGCAAGCAAGTTTCGCCATTTTTCAATTGCAATGGATGAATCCCTGGACAGCCGTTCCACTTCTCAGCTGCTTGTGTTCATTTAGAGGTGTGGATGAAGACATGAACATAACACAAGAGCTGGCTTCCCTACATAGCATGATGATACATTCAATGAGTTAAAAAACAAAAAAACATTTGCAGATTATAATTTGGACTGGAATAACCTCAGTTGCCTGACTGTTGACAGAGTAAATAATATGAGTGGCATAAAGAAAGGTTTGGTTGGACAAGTGAAGCAGTTGTATAACGAGAAAAACACTCTACAACCAATTTTCCCATTGTATCATTCACCAGCAAGCTTTGCGTGCTAAATATGTGGACATTAGCAGTTTACCGAATCCTGTGGTGAAGATGGTGAATTTAATAAGTTCACATGGGCGCAACCATAGACAGTTCAGAGACCTGTTGAAAGATACAGACACAGAATCGCAAGATTTACCACATTACACAGCAGTTAGATGTCTTAGTTGTGAGAAAGTTCTGAGCAGAGTATTTAAGTTCAGAAAGGAAATAGATGACTTCCTGAAAGTAAAGACAAGCCACAGCCATTGCTGTCTGATGAAGAGTGGGTATGGAAATTGGTCTTTGCTGCAGACCTAACTAGTCTTTAAATTCTCTGAACCTAAAACTAAAAGGAGAGAAAAATCTAGTTTCTTATCTACCACCATCTAAAGGCCTTCATAGCCAAACTCGTCATGTTTTTGGAACAAGTACAGGCCAACAACTTGACGCACTTGCAGCCAGTACAAGGTCTTCATGGCTGAAGTAACAGCGGAGTTCCCCACGTCATTTGCATGCGAGATCATCAAAGAGCTCCAGCTGCAGTTTCAGTAGCAGTTTTCTGACTAGGATTCAAAGTATGTCCAGAGTTCAATCCCCACCAAAGCCAACATCCCAAGCACCCTGGATGGGACTCGTTAGCCTTGGACGGCAACCCATCTAAGAGAAGGCAAACTCTGAATTTAAACTAGGAGCAAGAATGATCAACAAATTGATCGTGGGCCCCTCAAATATAAGAAGAAGAAGAAGTATGTATTTGATAACAAAATGTCTAGTCATAACTTGGTGTTTATGTTAACACATTTATCACTATATTGGCCGAGCATGTAATCATGTAAGTGGTAATTGTCTCGTCAGCCTTGAACATTAAAAAAAAAATGGTACTGTTTTAATACCGTTATTCAGACAGTTTTCCATATTTAAGTAAGAAAAATTGAATTATTTTTAATTTGATCAGCACTCTTTAAATGTCGAATGAAGCGAACTTAACCTTTTTTTAACCCTTGAACTCATTGTAATTCAAATCATAGTTCCCACACTTTTGATGCCAGTTTGGCATTTCCTTTTTTAAAAAAAATAAATAAAAATTCTTAATAGATTACTATAAAAAAAAATATACCACATCTTTTGTTAAATATTATTTTTAAACACTTGTTTAAAATTTCAGATACAGTTGTTAAAATGTAAAAGTCAAAATTCCTATGTAATCGTTGATTTAGGACCCATCATTTTGTTAATGTTGAACGCATTATAAATGTGTCGGCATCTAAACTTTCAGATTTTCCTTGTTAAAATGCTTGTCAGTCTGTGTCGTGTCAGTGACTGACAGGGTTGGTGTCATCAAATATTTATTATCATTTAGTCATTGTCATCGTGGTTCTGATGGTAACACGTTTGTTTGTGTTGAGTTGTCGTCCCGTCAACGGTTACGGCATGAGATATGATGATGACCAGACAATTTTATTTTTATCTTGAACGAGATTGTTTTTAAATTTAAAAATGTTTAAATAGAGAACGAAAATTGTACTGAAATAATGTTATATGCAGCTTTATATTTGTGTGTTTGTGTGGGGGGGGGGTGGGGGGGAGGGGTTTAAGAAAAATCCCTTAGTATTGAAAAAGATGGTTTTTACTTAAGTTAAGTGCAATAGAAATTCAATTTTTATCGACTTTTGAAACTGTTATGTGTTTGTGTGGGGGGGGGGGTGGGGGGGAGGGGTTTAAGAAAAATCCCTTAGTATTGAAAAAGATGGTTTTTACTTAAGTTAAGTGCAATAGAAATTCAATTTTTATCGACTTTTGAAACTGTTTAATTTGTTTAATTGTAGATATTATTTAGCTCATCCCCGATTCCTATCTTGAATAAAAATTAAAAGTTAGAATATAAGGTCTCCATTCCTTTTTACTTCTGATTATTTAGACTAACATAAGACATTGGTCTCATTTATTAATTTTTTAAACATTAGGTTTAAAATCAGCCGTTCTAATATCAGTATTTGCAAATAATCAGAAGGGACATTTCACTATCTTTGCCGAATGCAGCAAAATGTTGCTTAAAATTTGTTTAATTAATGACCAAGCAACATTAAAATAGACAGTGACTTACAGTGGTTTACAGATGTTTAATTTGATTCTTTGTTCATTGTTTCGAGTAGCAAATATAAACTTTATGAACTCTGATATTCGTTGAATCTTTTTTTCCCTTTGCAAATCATTTCATCAACCCATGCCGCAAAAACCAAGCAACCGTTAAGCAAACATAGCGGTATAGCCAAATAATAAACACACCAACAAACAAGAGACATTTTAATAGGACATTTATTCCTGCTTTGAACATTTCATTTTTCGAAGCGTCCAGCATAGGAATAATTTCTATGGCTACCAGACGATGGCGTAATACTTAGTAGTATCCTCTGCCTGTTGACAGATGAGAATAATTAGGTTATATAAATGGCAAAGCTCAAATTGGATGGATTTATTATTTTATCTTGATACTATTTTACGTAGCACGTAAACTATAATGCAAATGATATTATACGAAGCTGAGGGGGAAAAATTCTATTACTAATAAAAATGAAATGCTATTTAAATGAAATTTAAAAAAACCTTACCATATCCGAGACCCCCGTATCCGAATCTGCCTAGGCCGCCATACCCGAGACCACCTCCGAGACCAAGGCCTCCACCGATTCCGATGCCTCCACCGATTCCGATACCTCCACCGATGCCTCCACCGATGCCTGCACCGATGCCTCCACCGATTCCAATGCCTCCACCGATGCCTCCACCAAGTCCGATGCCTCCTCCGAAACCTCCGAGACCCCCAAGACCTCCATAGCCTAGACCGCCAAGACCCCCAAGACCTCCGAGACCCCCAAGGCCTCCGAGACCTCCGAGACCCCCGAAGCCTCCCAAGCCGTAGCCACCAAATGAGCCATGGACGCTGACTGAGAGCAGGGCGAGGGCAAGAACTGTGATGAATGTGTTCATTTTTCTGTGGTAAGAAATAAACACAGGGACTTATTGATATCAGCACATGGGGTTATTGATATAAACACATGGATTTCTTGATTTAAACACATTGATTTTTTGATATAAACTCATGGACTTTTTATATAAACACATGGATTTGTTGATATAAACACATGGATATAAACGCATGGATTTTTTTATATAAACACATGGATTTGTAGATTAAAAACACATGACTCGACAGCGCTCCCAGCTACAATCTATTTAAGTCAGTCGATTGAAACTAAAGTCACAAAATGGTCGTTTCAACACTAACCACAACCATAATCCCAAACCCGTTTTTTCTTCTTCTTCCAACACCACACTCGCTGTGACCACGTCTTAAACATTGCCACAGCAGGGGCAGTTCCAAATCTATTTGTAGGTTTCTATTAAATCAAAGTCTCATTTATTATATAATTAAAATACATATTTTAATCAATAAACTTAACAGACTAAAGATAAAAGGAGACATTTGGCCTGCCCCTAATTTGGATTAGCTTCTTAAAACATAGAAATGAATTCTAACAAATGTCTGTCTGAAAAAAGCCAGGTCTAAATTACGTACACATGACTGTCATCTTCAAGTTTTTGATCCATTTGACCACGTAATGATATAAAAAATTATATTTCAAGCCATTGGTCAAATTTATTAGACTTTAATAGTATGTCTTGAGTCTTTTCCTAAATACACTAAAATGAAAAAAAAAAAATCACGCAATATGTGTTAACTCATTGAAGTGAAAAGTCCAACGAGAGCTACTTACATAATCAAATCCTGGACCGTGGAGCTGATTGGAACAAGTTTGAGACTTAAGCGGGGGTGGTCCTGACGGTGGCCGACATCCTTATTTATACCATCTTCTCCGATTCTTCTGGTCAGCTGACAGCTAACCTCCGGGCCTGGGATGTGATTCCAAGCCCGACAGATTAGGACAAGACTCTTTGTCGTCGCCACCAACCGCTGTTGGAGTTCAAGGCCACGTCTTAGGCGTTAGGCGGCTTAGACGGTCGTAAAATAACTAATTACTGCATTGATGCGAACATACCAATCAAATGAACTGCTCGTTAAGCATAAAATATCTTAGCTAGCCCGAGGGCTCAGGGCTCATTCAATTGATGACCTACTTTGGAAAAAAAAAAAACACTTAAAAGTGTATGTATTAATTGGTGCACGCGTTACACTACATTTTGTAATTAAAAAAAAAAAAACGTGAAAAAAGGCATGAGCGTATGGACGAGATGGCGTGAGAAATAACATGGAGAAATTTGAACGAACAAACCCCGGTGGCTATGAACGTATTTAATATTTGTTGCTGCTACCGTTCACTGCAATATGTTGATCACATCTGGTCGTTATAAAACCATGTCCGGCATGTTGGTAAGGGAGTCGGCGACCATAAGTATTAAGGCAATAGTAAATCTGTGTGGCACTAACTACGGGGGAAAATATGTTTTAGGACTGTATTATATCTATATTATATCTTTATTATATCTATATTATATCTATAATATAATATTATAAATAATGGGCTGAAATCTTAGAGGAAAGTTTTCCAATAGAGTCACAAAACACGTTCCACAGGGTTGCACTCTAAGTTAGTACCGAACACATTATTGATGCGCAAAACAAATTTTGATTGAAGCTGAAGGTTCCCCAAAAGTAACACCATGAACAACACAATTTAGAAATTGAATCTTTAAAGTTGAAAAGACATTTTTCCCTTTTTTTAAATTTAAAAAAAAAAAAAGAAAAAAAAAAGCTAAATGTCCATGGATCAGTTCTGCTTTTATTGTTCTACTCGCAGACTCCGATCCCAACATATTGAGAAGAGTGGGGGCAAATTTAGAAATTGAATCTTTAAAATTGAAAAGACATTTTTTCCTTTTTTTAAATTTAAAAAAAAAAAAAGAAAAAAAAAAGCTAAATGTCCATGGATCAGTTCTGCTTTTATTGTTCTACTCGCAGACTCCGATCCCAACATATTGAGAAGAGTGGGGGCATATGGCGTTGGGTCTCAGCTCTCTACAACTGCACATGCGTAGGCTTAGGTGCAGAACATCATTGGAGAGATTAAAATATGCCTACCTTCTACTCCGCAATGAGTAATAATTTGATTTAAACTTAAACCAAAAACAAGAACAACAACAAAACAACACCAACACCAACAACAACACCAACACGTTTCAAAATCTGTTGGTATCCTTCTCCAACATATGATGTTTTCATAATGCTACAATGCTCTCTGGCAAAGCAACGAAGTGTGGGTGAAGTGTTTTATGGAGTATCGAATGTTTTCCAGGCAGCCCCCCCCCAACTGTCCAAGCAGTTGTTGATCTAAAGCCAACGTGAACATTTTGAATATTTCTGAAACCTGTCTTTTTTCCCTTTATTTACTTCATTTCCGTACAACTACTATTGATATTTTGCTCCAATCTTCTATACTGGTACAAAATTACGGTTGGAGTCTGCAAAAGCTGTTATTTGATTCACTACTTAGTAACAGTTTGCCCGTAAAAGAACACTCTTTCGATCACCAAAAGTTGACCTGCACTGTCATGACAGCGTGGGACGTTAAGGTCACCGGCGATGATGGAGTGCTTACCCGAGGGGGCTTGGGGCTTAGGGGAGTCAACAGCGGGGCGTGAATAGTTTGTTGGAAGTCATTTACCTTGGGGCTTTGAAAACTGATGGGTTGTTCTGCACTTGATTGGGTATAAATATGAGGACAAGTTTGAAAAAGGTTTAATTTAGAATTGGGTTTTATGGTAGAATCGGAGAAAACCATTGAAAACCGCAAGAACTCCTGGATCAAGAGTTCTTCTTCATTATGTGCCACCAAAGATGTCTCGACTTCATGATGTGCCACCAAAGATGTCTCGACTTCATGATGTGCCACCAATGTTTATCGACTTCATGATGAACCACCGAAGATTCTCGACTTCATGATTTGTCACCAAAGATGTCCCACCGGAAGTTGTAGCTGAAACATTTTTTTTGTTGATTTTTTAAAAATCCCATCGTTGCTTGTTTGACTCAGTCAATGTTGACCATCCTGGTGTCAGTGTTTGACCGAGACGGCGGCACATGGCACAGAATGAAACGAATCCACTTGGGGGTTGTTCGCAAGTTACGTCATGCTCAGAGGAGACGGGGGTCGAGAATTTGTGACACTTTGAGACACGGGGGAGTGGGGGGTCAAAACTTTGTGACGTCCCAATTTTTAAATTAATTTTTTTTTTAAAATCTAAAACTTTCTAATTTAAAAAAAAAATCTTTATTCAAGTTATATTAAAAACAATAATTTGAGGTCGATATTGCCACAGGTATTATAATTACCGTGAAATTCAGTCGCTCACACCTTTTTTTGCATATAAAAAAATTACGCAAAAAAAACAAAAAAAAAACTGTTGTGGCCATTTTATGTTCGGCTTGGGGGTCACTTGGTGAAAGTCACAGTTGTCCAATAATAATACGTCTTAATCCATTATGGTAAAATGTTAAAGAATAAAATAAAACCTTAGTTTAGTTATGAAAATTTTATGTATGTTTTGAATTTTATTTAGGTATCACGTGACACAAAGGGGGGGGGTTAAAGAATTTGTGACACATTGTGATCGGGGGTGTGGGTGGGGTGGGGGTGGAGGGGTCTGAAAAGGTCATATTTGGCGTGACGTAATTTGCGATATAATTTCACTCTCATAAGAATTATAAGTCATATACAAATGTTAATAGAAGTAAAGCTAGAAATGATTTTACTGCTCTTAAAGCAGTATATCTGTTGCGATGTTGAGATTACCTTAGCACAGTGGTTCTCAACCTTCCTAATGCCGTGACCCCTTAATACAGTTCCTCATGTTGTGGTGACCCCCAACAACAAAAAATTCGTTGCTACTTCAAAGTGGCACAGTATATGTGCTTTCCGATGGTCTCAGGTGACCCCTGTGAAAGGGTCGTTCGACCCCCAATGGATTATATAATGCAAATGGTATTATTATCTAAAACATACATAAAATTTTCATAACTAAGGCAATAGACGCAAATGTGTGAAGTGTACCATGATTAGTACCAAATATATAATGGATTCCTTACATTGAGGTTTTAATTCCATCTTAATCCAAAAGCAATGTATCTAAGAGCGATGTTCGAGTTATTTTTGAATGTAGCCCCATATTAAAATTGCCGTACAATTATCAGGCACCACCCCCCTCCCCCATACACACACACTAACTAAAAATTAACAAAAAAAAACAAAGAGCTAAATCAACAACAACAAACAGAAAAAACAACACACAACAATATTTACAAAAGCAATGTTTCTAAGAGCGATGTTCGAGTTATTTTTGAATGTAGCCCCATATTAAAATTGCCGTACAATTATCAGGCCCCCCCCCCCCCCCCCATACACACACACTAACTAAAAATTAACAAAAAAAAACAAAGAGCTAAATCAACAACAACAAACAGAAAAAACAACACACAACAATATTTGCTGTACGGAAGTATATGTGTATGGTCAAGCTAGGCTATTGCTTACTGGAGCCAGTCTATTTTATTCTAATCGTCTGCCAACATTTCACTTGAGTTGAACTTCACACCAACTTTGTCACATGACATGAGCTTTTTGGGGTATTTTTTTTTTCTTCAAGATCTGCGAGTCGGGATTATTGGCGTTGTATATGGGTGATAGCGCAGTGGGCTTTCAAAATGTGGCTCTGTAAATAGTTAGACACCATAGGGGGGTCTTTTGGTGTGGTGGTCTGGGTGGATGTTTTATAATTTTTAATACGACATTATCCCCAGGGTGTGAGAGCTTAACTGGCGTCCTCGAGGGCTCCGACCCAGAAAACGTCAGTTTGATGTTCAATTGTAAGACACTGTCCCACTCCCACTTCGGCTGCCACCACCACCGCATCACCAGCACCTTCACCACCACCACCCCCACCCCCACATTTTCCGTTTCACAATTTCAGTAGGTATAAGTCGCGTAGGAAAAGGGGGGGATGGGAGGTGTGCTCCAGGCGGCTCTTTTATCGCCATGTTTGGTTGGGCTGCAGGTTCGGCCAAGTCAGACGAAAAGACGGGGATTAACAGACGGAAGGCAAAATTTGATTGGACCAACCAATGGCTGCACAAATTATGAGATACTAGAATTCTGCAAAAACTGACTTCATTCTTTGCAGTGCGTTTAGCCAAAATATTCTGACCCAGTTAAATAGAAAGATTGAGTGGGAAAAAGGGAGTGAAGTAGGAAAAGAAAATAACCGTGAACTACGGTTTTGGTCAATCAAAGGGGCGGTATTTTGAAATTTATGTTCTTTTGATGACGTGGAGTTGGCATGAAATATCAAAGAAAACGCAGGCCACTGTGGCAGGTGGAATAATATAGTCATACACTAACACATTAAAAAGTAAGCCTCATCACTCCTCTTAGTACACACACACAAAATCTAATTTTTTTTAAAATAATCAATTGCTTTAGCTATTTTTTTTAAAATGACAAATTCAGTGTCCATGATTTAGGACCCAGGAGATGAAGTTACTTAACAAAGATTATTTTTAAATAGAAACATTGCGATTTTTATGCGTATAATTATAATTGTATAGTTTTTTTTATGGGTTAAAATTACACTTCATCTTTTTAACACTTTCATCGAATTATACTTTTAATAATTTTATTTTTATTCAAGGATATCTTTTTAATTTTTACTAAATAGCAAGGTTGTTTTATAACATATCTACTATAAATTAATACCCCTCGGATTGGCTCCTTTGACCACACGGCCCTGACCCTAATACAACTAAGTGCAA